GTTTTCATATGAAGATTCTAAAATGACTGGAAGTTAACGGCGCTAACAGCATAATCCTAAATTCTGGGAGAGAAACCGAGGCTGGGGGTGAGTGAACAAGTGCAGACATCAAACTTTCGACAGAATCCTATTAAGCAAGCAGACCAGCATTTTTCTGAGTCATCTTCTATCTCCTCAGTCACTTAGTGTCCTTGACCTGAGGCATGAGGCTGGAAGAGCCCAAGGAACTTCTGCTCACATTTCACAGACCAGGATGCTTTGGCTTCTGACCTAATGCTGGTGTGTACTCTCTAGGGAAAAAACCCATCTCCATCGTCTTAGAGGCCAAGAGAAACCCCTAACAGTGTAATTCCTTTATTTCAGATTATAATTTCATATATAAATACAAATAATGTAAATATTATATATAAATGAAAAAATGAATAAACAATATAATTAACTAATATGATACAGTCACCATATTATTTACTTGAGTAACGTAGTCATTATATTATTGAAAGCGAACTTTTGCTACTGAGTTCTACAAAGTACTCCATGCAGCTAAGATGATGTACTTTGTATCATGTGGCCTCTCAGTTGACCCTGCAACACAAACCTATGAGGCAGTATTTGTCCACTCACTTTGCTGAGGACCCAAACGAGATGCAGAAAAATTGGTGTTTTTACTCTGTTTACGTTACCTTCTTTTTTCAGCTTTCCAAAACTCCTGACGATTTCATGAACAACAGCTGCCCCGCTCTGAGGGTCAATGCCGCCAAACACCCACGAGTCACGGTGACCTCCAAGGATGACATATCTGTCTAGAGAGCACCATGGCAAAATGACTTACCCTTCCGGGTCAAGAACGGAGCAAACTGCAAATGACTCAGCAGCGCCTACACACCGAGCACTCACGCCTCGAGATAGCAAGGTTCCTGAAAACTTACGTAAATACGTCACTTTGTTTTGATTTTCATGCATGAAGAAAATACGAACGTGATAAGCGAATGCATACTTCAGTGAATTACAGTAATTATAAATATATAAGTCGTGATAAGTGAGTATAAAATTATCCTTATCCACCTCGTTATATAATTCTCTATTACTCCTCTGACCTGCTTGCACTTTGTTGCCAGTATTTTCAGAGTAAGAGAACACAGCAGCCACATAACAAGTTCTCCACTTTCTCCTCCTTTTACTCAGTTTTAAAGTACAGCTCAGAGCCTCCCCCTCTGTTTCCTGTAGGGAGAGAGAACCGCCCCCCTACCCAGCTTTCAGGGCAATCTCTTCCTATCTAATAAAGCATTTACTGCACTTCAACATAGGGGGCTTCTTGTCCCTGGTCTGTGTCTTTTTAAAAATCCCTCCATCCCCAATGCCTGGCACAGAACTGGCACAAAATAGGTACTTGGTGAGATTCAACACATAGCCAGTTGTATTTGGATTAGTGCTCATTAGAAGTTTATCAGTATTCTTGATCCCTGAAAGAGAGTGCTGGCTGCTTGCGAGAAAGACATGGAATTTAATTCTATCCGTTTAGGTAAGAAATACATCACCGTATAGTTCCTAATGAACCGACACATAATGAAGTAAGATTATTTTTAGAATGTATTTATCAGCAGGTCATCTGAAACCATATAGAAATGGGGTCAATATATTTCACCAATTTCAATGTAAAATAAAACTAAAGGATTCATTAACTTTAGGTTACCTAAACTCTGTAAGAGTGTTACTTATCATTATAATGAAGATATTTCCCCATGCAAAATAGGTGGTGAACAAACCCAGAAAACTCAGATTAAACACGTGTAAACTGTCCCTCCGTGCCTTTCCTCCCTGGATCCTTTCACTGAAGCAAGATTTATCACTAAGGTCGCTCATCTGACCAACCTGGTCCCGAAGTTTACTTTCTTTTCAACATGCATCACAATGCAAAATGACTTCCTATGGATCTATTTTGTGCTTATGTGAGTTCTCTTAGGACAAAGAGTCGCTTTGCTTTGTTTACCCTCCATCCCTCCATCCCTCCTGCTCAGAGCAGTGCCTGGCACCAAAGAACTGCCCCATCGATACTTGCTGAGCAAATGATTAATTTACCTGGTTCCACTGCCCCTCTGAGTGTTCCAATCACATTGTAAATTCTTCTCACTTCATTGTTGGAATGAATATGCATCTTGATTTTTCTAATGCAAACATAAAGGATGAAGCCTAAAAATACTGGTTAACAGCTTGCCACCCACAATGTTGAAATCTGACAGCGTCTTGAAGACTTCTAAATGCACACAGGCAAGCATTACACCGGCCCCTTAGTACAACTGTTAAGGCTGTAGGTGTGTTCCCCTCTTTAGCCTGTTGCTTTGTTTCCTGCTGGTAGTAGACAGATTTTACTTTTCAGTCATTCTCCATAATTTTTTTTAAGAGCTTTCCTCCCCCTAAAGAGTTACAATAAAAATTGTCTCTTAACTGGGTAGAAAAGTTTCCAGCAAAGCCAGGTCCGACATTGTAGGGCACTTGCA